GGAGAGGGGTTGAGGCTTGGAAGGAAAGCTTTTGAAAACGGAGGAGAGGCAGCAGGAGGAAGGTTCATAACGGACCCAGACGTATGTATGTATGTATGTATGTATGTATGTATGTATGTATGTATGTATGTATGTATGTATGTATGTATGTATGTATGTATGTATGTATGTATGTATGTATGTATGTATGTATGTATGTATGTATGTATGTATGTATGTATGTATGTATGTATGTATGTATGTATGTATGTATGTTCACTCATGAAATGTGGCGCGGGGGTGTACATGGGAATGTGCTGCCACCCCTCTGGAACGTCCTTCCCCCGGCCCCGGCCCCCCCCCCCGCGCCCTCCCGGGGCCCCTTCCTCCCTCCTATCCTCCTTAACCTCTCCCTCTCTCCACCCTCCCCCCAAACCCAGGCCCGTCTTGGTTCCGGAGCTGCTCGTCGCGATGAGCTCCTTCGCGAGGCCGCTCAGCAGCACCTGCTGGCGGGGAATGTGGAGCACAGCTGCGAGCTGCTGGCGGAGGTGGGGGAGTGGGACCGGGCCTTGGCTCTGGCCCCGGCGGTGGGACTGGCGCTGTGGCAGAGGCTGCTGAGGCAGCGGCTGCAGGCAATGGCGGAGGCGGAGGCGGAAATGCAGGTACGACACCGGGGCAGGATATTAGGAGGGGTTAGGAGCCCGCGGGAGTGGGAGTATGGATATGGGGTGTGTGAGGTGGGGTGGGAGGGTTGTGTGGGAAAGCGGAAGAGGAAGGGGGAAAGGGGGAGTTGGAGAGGTGTATGAGGTGTTTGTTGGGTTTCACAAAATACGGAATGAGAAAGGTGAAGTGTGTATTTTACGGCGGGCGGATGGACGATATGCCGTACAGCAAAGTTGGTTCATGTGGTGTTGTGTGTGAGCGCCATGTACTTATATCCGTTGGTTGTACGTTGGTTTTGCGTTATGCACAATCACGTGAATGATGTACTGCCGCTATACCTGGTTTCGGGGCAAGTTCCGGAGTTGGTGGAATTTCTCTCTGCTTCGTGCCTGTACGACACCGCGTTCAATGTGGCTGCTGTACAAGCTTGCGGCGGGTACCCCGTGGCCGGCAGCGGTTGCACAAGCGGCGGTGGAGCGCGCGGCGG